GTAAAATATTTTATTGAAAATTTGAAAAATATGTATTTTCTACTTCTGTGCATGATCATAGGTAGGTTTGACAACTCATGTTTTTATGTGCTGTATTCTAACGCGATTTTCAAAGTAAAATAGTAGAGATGTAAAATTAATCTGTATGGCTGAACTACTGTGAGAGGAGCAAATCATAATGACAATTTAACTGAATGGACAATTTTTTAACGATAAATAGTTGCCACAAATGACCATTTCGTGATTATTGTCAAAATTTCTGAATCTGGTAATTATGATCGTTTATCAGATATGTGTTTTGTTCTGTGAGTTTCATAACATCGCAGTAGATTTAAATTAGATGATTTCACACAAATTTTATGTAAAATTAATATGAATAGAAATTTAAGTTACTAGTATATGATTACTAGTTACTAGTACTAAAATATTTATTAACAAATAGGAAAATAAACATTATATAGAGTGTCCGGCCATGTTCCGACAAATCTAATAAATTTTAATCTAAATATGTTGAGTTAATTCTTATTTTAATAATTTGTGATAATTTTTAATAATAAAATAAATACATTTTTTTATTTCCAAATAGCCATTTTTTTATAAAAAAAAATGGGTTGAGAACTTTAGGGTAAATATATATTGAATAACAAGCATTTAAACCCATTCAGTGGGTAAGTATCGCAGGTGAATACAGCTCATACTGGTATATGTGCACTCCGCTTGCATCACATACTAATATAACAAATTATGTACAGCTTAAAGTTCATATAAAGATTTTAAAAATAATATTTTAAACTAAAATAAAACATTTAATGACATTTTAAAACCCTTGTGGTTAATATTTGTACAGTTTAATGCATATTTGAGTGATACTCAATACCCCGTAGGATGTACATAGTTACAAAATCTGCGTATTTAAAGTAAAAACAAGTACTAGGAAGAGTAAATTAAAAAAAAATTTGAATAATTTATATGTTAAATTTTGTATGCTTAATATAATGCTATAGTAGTTTTCTAGTATTGACACCTGACACCCAATCGATATTTAACTATTTTAACATGTAATGAAAACGATCAAAACATCTTTTACAACTTACTTATTTTCATTATCATTTTTATTTGTTTATCATAATTTATATTTCAGAAGTTGATTGCAAGTAAATTTTGTAACACGAATTTCTCGACACACTAATTTTCTTTGTTTTTCGATATCCCCCAACCTAAAACAAATAGTATTTAAACTGTATTTACATCATAAAAACCAAAAAGAATTTATTTTCGTATAACCACATTATTATTTATAGACTTTTTAATCACCTACTTAATCTTTCTTGAAGTCATTACTAGAAGAAAATTAGTATCAAAACAAACAATTCTAGGTACCCATTTTAAGCATCACAAAGTTATTGGTACAAGTATAACATTAGGTCATAGTTTTTCGTTATCTTTATTTATCTTAATCATATTATCGTGTAATAATAGTAGACTTAATAATCACACTGATACATCCAAAATATATAGAAATGTAATTGAACAACATCACATACCCAAGTATTAATTTGTTCATCACATAGTCTGAATCATCTGTAGCCATTTCAAAAAGCCGCAGGTACTTTGTATTTTTTTATTAATGTCAATGTGTACCGCCCACCACTTTCTCGATATGCCAAAATTTTGGTTTCGTTCATACAGATAGATTTTAATCATTCATAATACAAGTTTTACATATTGTATTAACCCTAAAATATAAAACTGATTCAAGTTCTTATACTTTCTAATTTATGATACAAAAGTAGCTAATCGTAATAATTATTTTATTAAATTAGATAATATAATGAGCAACCCCACTTAGCATAAATTAAATTTTATTAACGAAAGACTGATAAGACTTATCAAATTCGAAGTATTTTATGCTAATTTACTATTACAATTATCTTGAAATATATTTTATCCCTTCTATTCGAACGTTGGGATGATTTATGAAAATTCGTAATAAAATTGTACTCAAATGAAATTTTTTTTTATAAACTTTTCGACTCTGTATATTTTTTTGATTTTCTAAAATGATAATGCTATCAATTTGATTATTAAATGATTCAAAAATAGTTCTTTTTTAAACCCAAGGTTTAACGTGTATTAACACTCATCAACCCATTAACACTCGCTGGGGTTTATTGGGTTGAAACCATGAAACTTGTACAAAATCACCGGTATAAAAAGCTACATAGAAATAAAACAAAATAGTTATAATAAATAATTGAGTAAATTTTAGTACGCATAACATAAATGTTGTTGACAAAACTATAATAAAATAGTTGGAATTACTAAATAAATATAGTTATCCTATAAGAGTTTGATCATATATTATAATCTAGTTGAAAATTTTAAATAAATATTAACTAATAAATTGTAGTTGAATTATATAGATATTATAATTGAAATAAAAAATTGTAGCACTTATTTTTTTGTAAAATCTAGTTAGCTTTATTCAACATTTTTATCCTAAGAGAGTAAAATAAATTATCAAGTATGCGTCATAGACACAATTAGGGGAAGGAGAAAAAGGCTTAGCCGCCAAAAATTAGAAGATTATATATACCGTTAAGTTAAAAAATGCTCGGTGAAAAATGAATTTAGTATCCCCAGAAATTTTTATTCTAGTGACGCCTATGGTGTGTATTTGTATTGCGAAGTATCGAATAGGTTCTATTGTAATTAAGACATCTTAATTTGTTATAAATTGTATAGTAACTGTCAGCATTTATATTCAGTAAAGTAATGTACAATGTAATTAATACCAACTAAATGAATCGGTTAATTGATATTAATTTCAACAAAATGATCATTAAGTCCATAACAAATGGTTAGATTTTAACTGTTTTTTATAATTGATTCAACTGTATAAATTTAACGATAAAATTTTAGTTCTTCCAACTATATAATTATTTAGTCATTATATTAACCATGTTTTTCAGTTGTAGTAACTATTAAATGGTTGTTCCAACTCTATAATATTTTTCATGTATAAAAAACTAAGGCTATTAAAAAAAAGTGGTTAAACAATGAGGGATTGAAAGTTTCTGAAAGAATAATTTATGATTTAATTAGTTTTAAACATAGTATTAAAAAAATATATAGTCGAATAGATTAGTGTTAGAAAGATTTCGCTATTACTATTAACTTTTTTTTCCAAAACAATTATATGCAGTAATATTTGTCATTATATAATGAATATATTACTTTTAAATTAAAAACGCTTTTTTTTTTAATAAAAATCATTATTTTTATACTAAATAATAATAAATATAAATACATGTTTTATAACTATACATTCATAGAGACTTTCTTTATACTGATCACGATATTAACATAAATCTCAAAATGTCAAAAACTTGAATTTTTATTTAATAAAAAAATAAAATAAATATTAAGCTTACGAAATAATTTGAATTTGGCATCTTGAGAGTTTTTATATTTTGGTATATTACTCGATAAATGAAGTATAAATATTTTATATATTTAAAATAAAATTTTACATTTTATACGTATATTAAAATACAACAGAAAATTTGTTGTAGTAAGTGTATGATTTTTGAGGTCAATCACATAAAAATACAATAACTAAATATGCATCAAAAAGTGACTACCGTAAATATAAACGATAAAATTGAGTGTACAATTTAATATAAGAAAGGCAAAACTTAGATTGGTTAATTTTATTACACATTAAAAAATTAGGAATACCTAAGTACAAACATTAGCATATATAAAATTATTAGAGAAATAAATTCAATTTTTATTAATTTAATAAAAGTTTATAGATAATTCAAAATTTATATTCTATTTAAATTTTACTGAATAATTAGTTAATTGATTTGAAAAAAAACGTTTTCTATTTCATTTTTCATATCTATAATTTTGTTAATCATATAACTTTAAAAGTACTTTTGTAAGTTACATTATTTTTGTAGTATTTCCAATAGACCTATTAAGTAAGAACTTTAAGTATTAATATTTTATGTTCAAACACGTTATTTTTGTGGGCATAATCACGTTAGCACAATAGAAGAGACGTCGAAATTTAATTTCCAACATTTTGGCAACCGTTAGGAAAAAGTTCAGCTACAATTAAGTTTAATTATCACTTATTGTCTAAAAAATATTTTTTATGGTTCAGCTACAAGGTTTACCGTTAAAAAAAAATTGTAGAAAAATTAAAAAATTAGCATAGTGGTATTGTTGGAAAAATGCACTTATCTTTCTAAAATGGATAAACTAAAATACTCATATATATATATATATATATATATTGAATCATTATTAATGGTATAAAATACTAAAATCAGCTATTAAGGGTTTTGTGGTCAATGTTCGTGATATCATATTCTTGCAATCTTTTTGCCAAGTCTGATTGCATTTTGTTAATAGAAAATATTAATCACAGGAAAAACTGTATAATAATAAGTTGTGTATATTTCGATAATTTTTTTTTTACAATACAAGAATCGTTACAAATAAAAAAAAAACCTGTGCAAATAAAATGAAAATGTTTCACACTGCGTTAGACATATAGGCTTAGAATGGTGAACAGTAATATTAAAGGCAAAACAAGGTTGCTTTCAACAATGTATTCGTTTCGGGCAGAGGTCATAAACCGGCTAGCGGATTCGTGTGTACGACATGACGACGCGTGTAGTATCATAGATAAGATACTTAAAGCTATGTGCGTCCCATCGTATTTACCGGTAACGATTTCAATTTCTACAGCGAAGAAACGACAGAGGCGCATTCAATGCGAAACCAGTCTAGCAGAAATAGTAGAGGAACTGATAGTCGCGACTGAGGTGAAAGAGAGAAGGGGCATAAGAGATATAGATATAGATAATATAAAACAAAACGTACAGACTCAAACGGACCGGCAGCGGAGTGGAGAGAGTGTGGTGCAGCTGCAGCAACCGGTCAAACATTCAATTTCATTCACAAAACTATCCGAGTCTTCTCGTTCTCTGGTCCGAGTAAGTGTCCCCTTCGGCGCCGGCTATGTACTCTATGTGATTTCCCCCGTCGCCGGCGTCTATGACTTGGGGGGGCTTTACCCCACGTTTTGATCCGAACGGAAGGTATTCATCGTTGTGCCGGCAATAAGTGGCTCAGTAGTGTATCGTTCATTTTGAATGTGTGTGTTTTGCGTTCATATTCCTACGCGCGCTCCAACACTACGAAAATGCCGGTAAACTTTTTGTCTGGTGCGCGCCCATTGCAAATTAATCTTTTGTTCGCCTTACACTGATTTCTTGGCAAATCATTTTTAGTTGTTGACGATTTTGTTTTTTTTTTTAATTGGTCAAAACAATTTTACCACAAAATAATTAACATTAGGTTTTTTTAGACAGCCAGTGTAATTATGAAAAAGTTACAATTGTTTGTGGCAAATTTGTTTGTACTTAAAATCATAACTGTAGCGACTGGAGCATCAAGTACAGTACAGTCACCCAACAGTAAATCTTTGACACATGAATCTGCCAGTAAGTAGTCAATACAAAAATAGATAGTCGGTTTAAAATTCGAATTTTTTAAAAACAAAAGTTTGTTATTTTGGGTTGTTTAAATACTTTTCCTTTTTCTACGAGGTGAATGAGAAAAATATGCAACTCCAGTAAACGAAAAATTTAACTGATACACATGTAAGTTTATCATTTAAAAAGAATACAAATAATAAACCGGATTTCATATTAAGTTTTCATTTTGAATACTCGAATTTGATCTATGCAAAATTGTTAGATTCGAACTATTACATATAAATAATACTGTTTAACATTTAAAGCAACCGGTTTTCCATCTCATTTTAATGCCAACCAGTAATAATTTTCATCAAATTTATTACGACATCTATGTATTTTTTAATAAGCTCTTCGACAATTTATGACACTATACACACGTATAAATCTTTGATTTCAGATTTTTGGAAAGTTAAAATTGAAAAATCTACTCTACATAGTTGTATAGTAATTAATTATTTAATTGCTTCAATAGTAATCAGTTAATATAATACTATGTTAGCTTTTGTATTCTGAAATTTACATTAGCCAATTAATTAATGCTATAATTTTAATGTCCTTATAATCCTAAAAAAATCTAAAGTAGCATAAAATACATCTATTTATCATATATTTTCGAACTGTTGAGTTATAAGCATAATATTTAGGTCGTTTATAAAAATCTATTTAAATATTTAATAGACTTTGGTAAAAAATATTTTTGCCTCAACTTATAACCATGTTACGCTTTTTAAAGGTAAATATAAAATCGGTATATAGAGTATTCAAATAGTAAAAATAACAACTCCATTTGTTACGAACAATAGGAAAATTGAGAACTATTTCCCTTATTTATTGAACTTTCTATATATATATACAGAGTGGCCCACCACTCACTGACAACTTAAATAACTTTTGATCCAGTTAATATTTTTAGCTGATTTTTTTTTTAAATAATAGTTAGACGTTAGGTCTACAGCTATATCTCAATAATTAATTTTTTTACATTTTATTAAAAATATTAATTATTTTTAAATTTTAAATAAAATGTAAAAAAAAAATCTAAGATAGCTATTTTGTAGAGTAGAATTTAAGAAAAATTTTAGTAAAAAAATATCTTATTAATATTCAGTAGTAAATATTCTGTAGCGTTTTGAAGTTTGTAAAAATTTGAATTTTCATGTACTATTTTACGGTTATAAACATTGAAATACGTATTGAGAAAAGGACAGAAGAAAACGCTATCTTTTCATGATTACTGTGTATACATATGATGATAATGTGTATACATTACAAACTTGGCATAAATACCATGATAAGAAATTAGATAAGGCAATTATTACTTATCACTCTCATTCAAAAGTATATTGAAAAGATAGCGTTTTCTTCTGTCCTTTTCTCAATACGTATTTCAATGTTTAATACCGTAAAATAGTACATGAAAATTCAAATTTTCACAAACTTCAAAACGCTACAGAATATTTACTACTGAATATTAATAAGATATTTTTTTACTAAAATTTTTCTTAAATTCTACTCTACAAAATAGCTATCTTAGATTTTTTTTTTACATTTTATTTAAAATTTAAAAATAATTAATATTTTTAATAAAATGTAAAAAAATTAATTATTGAGATATAGCTATAGACCTAACGTCTAACTATTATTTTAAAAAAAAATCAGCTAAAAATATTAACTGGATCAAAAGTTATTTAAGTTGTCAGTGAGTGGTGGGCCACCCTGTATATATATATATACAGTTGTTCAGCAAGTAAGGAAACATATCAGTTGTTAAAAACAATTGAACAATGGAAACCCGTTTCTTTACTTACTGAACATTCTATATATGAAACCCACAGGGAGTTTCAGATATTACTAAAAAAAATTCTAAAAGGCAGCTGACACTACTGACCCGTGTCATATAGAAGCTAATAGAACTATGACAATAAGTTTCATATTTGATTTAAATTCATGTAATTATCACTTTATAAGTAACGTACTATATGAATCGTTTATTTATAAAAGGGGTAAAGTCACTTTATTTTTGAAAATCACTTTTTCTAATGAATATGTTTTGTTGCTATAAATGCATCGTTTATTTTTAAAAACAGTCAAATCATATTATATTTCAACAAAATATGGCGATTTAAATATTAAGTATATTTATGAATAATCCTGTGAACTGGGACTTATCCTAACCTTATTTGTATGATTAATTTAATAAATATTGCTCATTCAATATCATTTTGGTAATAACAGCTTATTTTTTAATTACAAAGAATTATTTTCGTTGTTTGGTAAATTGTTATTCACAAAATATTATATTTGTATGTTGTATATAAGTGAGTTTTTAACAAGATATCATAAAACATAATAATTTATTTTTTGAAGTTAGATAATAAAGTTTTGTTACTGTTAATAATTTAAAATATGATAAAAATCAAAATACAATATATTACTTAATAATTTTAGTTAACATTATTCTGTTGCACACATTTTACTTTATGATTTATTTATTTTATTAATTAAAAGAGAATTAATTAATTTATGAATTGGTAAAAACAGTATATTTTAACTTCTTTTACTTGGTTAAAATATAAACTTGAAAAATTGGAATTTATTATTAGGTAAATATAATCTATAAAAATTCAAATTATCAAATTTAAAATTTTCAATCAAAATATTATTTAAAAATTAGTTATTCTTAATTTTCTTATATATTTAAATTTTTGACTATACATCTTTTCAAAATAAATGATTCATAACGCTTAAAATAAAATCTTTGAAACTGTTACTGGTTTATCTGTATGTTGTAGTTTGTTAAGTTTTGAAGCAAGATTAAAATTTCTGATAACCTAAACTTTTTTTTTAAATACAATAGTTGAAGAGTTCAGGTGAAAAACCTTTAAATGCTTTCTAGATAAATTCTTTCATTTGAATTATATTTCAAAAATAAATTAGAGATAGTAATTATACTTTCAATAGTTTTGATAAATTTTAGTAAATTAGATTTAGTGATCTTTATATTAATATTTTTTAAGTTTCAAAACTACTTTTCACAGAGTTTATTGAGAAAATATTATTTTTTGTATGATTAATCTAAAACGGTAATAATATGTTTTTACAAAAATTCCACTAATTATCAGTTTGAATAATTGTGCGGTCAAATATTCTGAAAAAGTAACGAATTTGGTATGGATCATTTTTAAGAAAGTGATTTTCACTTTTAAGTTTATCGTAACTTTTGTTATTTATATTGCTTCCACACAACTAAATCAATTCGACCGCAATTTTTGTACGAGACATGTTTCTTTATAACCACTACATAACAAAATTTAAAAAGTAAATAAAAATCAAAAGTGTAAAATAGCAATATAATTTATAAATTATAATTTAATTTATTATAAAATGATAACATTTTTGTATCATAATTTTTGCAAATATAATCAATAAAACATTAAAATACTAATAATAAATTTTAAAAAAATATGTGTTAAATGTGATCAGTTTTCTAAAAAACTATTCAAAAGTAATCTTTAATAAACTGATATATATATATATTTCCATTAAATTATAAATTAAATATAAAAAGGCAGTTTAATATAAAATACATTTTAATTCAAATAATTATTTGCAATTTTTTAATATTGACTGTCACGTGTTACATGTATTATTTTATAATTAGTTTAGTAATAGCCTTATGCAATTGTATTTTTTTTAAATACAATTCTTTGATTACTAGAATTGTGATTCAGAAATCATGTGTTTTTTACTAATTATTGTTGACAAAAGATTTCAATTACAATTTAGGCAGTAAATTAAATTGAAAGATAATCAACTTAATATATCCAAAATCTTTCTCTCATAATATAAAATGTTAAACAAATCACATTTGGTATTAACATCATTCTAAATAAATATGTTGAAATTTCAATTTTTTTGTTTTATAACTGAAGCAGAGTAAACACTTATTTTTATTTATTTGTGCAATTAAACATTAACTGGGTTATTTGAAAGTGTTTTTAAACCTCAATTTTCGACCTAAGAGAAATATGCAAATCTTTTCATACTTTTAATAATGCATATATATTAATAAAATATAAATGATACAACAAAGTATTTTTTAACCATTTTCAGAATTATTATGCGTTTTTTAATTAAAACATAATTCTTGTAATTATCTAATGTTTATCAAAAAAATATATACAATTCAATATTTAAGTTATCATTTTCAATTTTTTGAAATATTCAACTTATGCGACATCCCTTTTTAATGATTCACATGACCCATCGCTATCGGTCAACTAGGCGGTAGACTGAGTTATTTCTTTGACTACTTTCACTTCGTCACTAGTAAGTACGTTGACCGAATGAATGTAATTTAATTATTTCGCTCAGACATATCGGCTTGTTATTACTGCCGACATGTGAACACTGTAGTCTGAGTAAAGCAACGTTTGCATGCATACATATTAAAAAGTAAATTGAAAACGCATAAAAAATATTATTGAATAAAATATTTATAATAATTTATCGACCAACTTGACGGACATGCCATAGCCATAATTATGAATTCTTCAAACATAATAGTTTTCTTTCTGTTATCTCTATAGAACTTTTTGGCATTGTTTTAGCACGGGGAGAGTTATACGTTGATGACATATTAATCACTAATTATAAATATAATCATTCTTAATTAGAAATTAGATACTAAATTAGGCCAAACAATCGCTTTTGTACTCATATAAATATTGACAAGTATGTAAATATTTATAATGATTAATTCAAATTTATTATAAAACAATAAAATAAAAAACAATAACCAACTTTGTTAAAAGTGGTAAAAATAATTGAAAATTCCATTATAATATGAATTTAAAAAAATGATATCAAATTTTTTGTATATCCATTTATCAATTGTTCTCAATCGATAATTAGTATAGTTATAGTCTCTATATAACTATTGGTTAATTATAATATGTGATTCAATTATAATTTTTATAAAGAAGTATGTATTTTTTAGTAAATATAACGTTTTCTATTAATGAAAATATTTTTAATTTAAATACTACGCACATTATTATAATTATTATCATTAGTCATAGAAAAATTTTTCATGTTATATAGTTTTAAACTTCATAGTATTTTTTTATTATTATTAATCTAATCAAGTATTATTTAAAAAAATTATTTGTTCGAAATATTTAATATTTTGTTTTTTGTCATTTTCCATCATTTTGATGGCAAAGGGTTAGCTTAAGACAAAGTTATATATTTATACTTTTTAAAATATTTGCGATATGAGAACGGCTGATGTGAGCGTAGATGACGTAGAAGATAATGTCAAGTGGAATTTTAGGATAAGGGTGGCCGACCCCCAGTAGTTGGGATTAAGGCGAGGAAAAAGAAAAAGATAATTTTTTAAATGTTACTTTTATCAGGTTTTTTTGGTTAAGTAATAATAATAATTAACGTGTACAATACATTTATACGAATCTTTGTTGATAAATTATGAATTATACAATAATTATCATGATGAATTTAAAAAAAAATTAAAACTTGTATGGAAATATCAAAAAATTTTGCATTTTTTCTAAACTTTGAGCTTAGAGTGCGCCTCTTATTCATGTCATAAATGCTAAAATTTTGCAGATAATTTTTAGACTCGTAGGAAAAAATTGCCGAATGACACACCTTAAATTTTAAGATTTTAAAAATAAGGTGCATCCTAATATCGTGTACTGTAAAATATATATTGTAATAAAATACTTTTCCTGTTGTTTTGGTGCATTATTCGTATATTTTATTTTATTTATAGTTCCTTGTATAATATATGATGTATCTGTACCATTAGTCATTGATGGTTTAGTAGCCTGCGGTATCGCGAGTATAGATGGTGAATAGACCACCTAATAGCTATGCACAGTTTTTAATTTGTTACACGAAGTAGCTAGGATCAAATTCTTCGTGGAATCATAATTTATGGGAAATATCTCTATGGTATAGCATCAAAGTATACACGTAAAGATTAAGAAAATATTTCATAGTTTAGTAGGCAAAATTAAATTTGAGACTTCTGAAAATCATAAAAAACAGGCGTAACTAGAAGAGTTTTACTGAAGAAATATTTTTTTATCTCCTCTACATTGTACCGCACTAATGTGATTTTTGAGGTTCCAAAATATTTTATACGTACTTTTTTGTATTATGAACCAATACTAAGATAGTGATTCATTTATCATAAACTGCTTAATTAGTCGAAATATAAAAATAATATTGATAATTTTTGTTTCTTTTAGCTAAAAGAATGTAATTACATGTTCTTCCCAATTTATCAACCATAAAGTTTTTTTTATATTCATTCCTTATACTTTATGAGGATGTCTACTTTATTTTGTCAAATAGCAATATACATAATTAATTAGCTTATTTATTAGATAATGATCTAACTAAAAAAATGACTCATCGATTACAACTTTTGCACAAATATTTTTGAAGTTATTAAAAGTTAACAGTAATGACTGGAAGTGAAACACGAGTGTTATTATTTTTATTACTAGTCATTTCACGACCACACTCTTTCTCCTGCCTAAGTATAAAAGTATTAATATCTTCAAAAATACTGATCTAAGAGTTATCAAAATAACTGTCATATTTTAAATTAGGTCATTATATATTAAATTAAGTAATTAATTATACATGTTGCCATTTAAAAAAAATAAATTTGACACTCTCATAAGGTATAAGGGATGAACACTAAAATTATTTATTGAGAAATTGATAAAATCTAATTAAGTGGTACAAGATAAATGAATTATTCTGTGTACAATATATTTGTAAAACTTTTTATTATCAAAAATAAATAATATTTTACAATTATTTCAGCTACTAACGGTTCAAAAGACAGTCGGGCTATTATATCTCCACGAATGGATTTCGACGAGTGGACTCCATTAGGACGCGGTGATCCTCTTAAAAACGATCCAACGTTTGATTATTTACCTCCAGTCCTCGATAAAGTTCATTATTGGAAGCCACCTCCACCTTCCTCTATTAACCAACGTTTATACTCTACAACTGCATCTATACCATCATTACAAGCTGTAAACTACAACAGACGTTTCTTTTTGACGGACTTTTCAAACAAAGAATCTTCTCAAACAGCTCCTTCTTATGTGCAATATGTACCAAAAAGACCACAAGTTGTAATGAGCGGATATCATTATCCGATTCCTCGAACGCCTTTGCCGATGCTCACACCTCCACCGTATTCACAGCCATCTTCACATTCATCTATTATAACGACGGTTAAATCTGTAGATATGACGGACATAGGAAATGTATTAGCCGAGAGCAAACATCCACCAATAATTCGAACACCTCCACCGGCAATGACTAGTGTTAAGCCTTTTATTTCGACTACAGCCATTAAAGTACTCTTGGAAAAAGAAGTCGATAGAACAACAGTAACGATCGGCACACCTCCATTAGTCATTTCAACAACCAGCAACACTACTCCAAAAGTACCACCTACTTCAAATCCGATATTTCCAAATAACAAACATTCATTCCCGAGCGCACGTCCCATGTACTTGATCATACAGGGTCATTCCAAAGTTAAAACCTATGGGCTTGCTAATAAACCCGATGACGCATTAAACGCTAATCAATTTACCACTACTGATTATGATCACAACCACATCAGTAACCATCCTGTAGACGAGTCAAATAGGAGAGACCGTAACGACTAATTTTGTTTTCTTAATACAAAAGCGCTATATTATCTTCCACAAACTTTTAGATAATTATGTATTTATTTGTATAAAATATCTATGATTTAAGATATCATATTAGTATATTTTATTTTACCGTGACTTGCAATGAATAATTTAATTTATGTGAGATTATTGGCTAAGTAATCGTAAGTCAAATGATAATTTTTTCTCAATATTTGTAATTTATTACATCCGTATATAATATTTATAATTTAAAATAGTAACATAGTTTTAATAAAATAATAACTTAATTAAAATATTTATTTTTATCATATTTGCACAGAAATTAAAATACTTTATAAACCCTAAACAAAAGGTTTTAATATACGTTGCTTTCTATTTAATTGATATAAATAAAAAATAAATTTAAAAATTTTATTTTTAAAATGATATATTTTTTACAAAAAATTACTTAGATTATTTGTAAATAATAACCAGGTTAACTTTGATCGAGAAAAATTGNACTATGATTGGAACTCTCAAAGCCAACAAAAGAGAGATACCTCCTCAATTTGTAACGAAGTCACGAGAAATTGGTTCATGCTTATATGGATTTCAATACGATAAAATACTTGCCTCTATCCAAACCAAACGAAAAAAATGTGTCTTGCTTTTATCAACAATGCATGACTGCGAAGGTATTGATGAAAAGACCGGTAAACCAGTGATAAATATCAACTACAATGCTACTAAAGGAGGTGTAGATACGGTGGATAAGATGTGCGCTGCGTACTCAACTGCACGGCAAACACGGAGATGGCCCCTAAGAATTTTTTTTAGTTTTTTAGATTTGGCTGGTATAAATTCTCAGGTAGTATTTTACCATAATAACCTATCCACTAAACGTCGCCGTGAATTCCTAAGTGACTTAGGGTTTGAACTTTTAGAGACTCATTTGAAAATAAGAGCTCAGATAAACACTCTTCCTAAAGACATCAAAATATTTCTGGACAAATATCATCACCAACCTCAAACAATAAGTGCTACAGAAACAGATAAAAAATCTGGACCTTGTCACATCTGTGGCGGAAAAAAGTGCAATCGTACAACGGTCAGATGTTGTAACTGCGAACAATTTGTTTGTAAGAAACATTCCAGACACGTTGCAACATGTGATAATTGTACATAAGAAATCATTGTGATAGTTAAGTTTAAAATTTTAAAATTTTTATATTTTTTTCAACTGGGAAAAGTTAACCCTCAAGTAAATATTTTAACGAAGTTACTACTTTTTTAGTTCCTTTAATTCAAGTCAATATTTTTTTGAATTTTGATATAAATATATATTTATAATTTGTTAATAAATTCAATAAATTTATATTAAAATTGATAAAAAATGTTGTTTCTATTTTTTGACTTTTTCTTTTGAAAACAGGGCCGTTGCTCAGGCGAGAAAGGTCATATTCTACAGGCAGCACTAAGTGCTGCTACGCGCTTACTCGTGTGGGTTTCGATTACGCGCCCACCGGAAGGTTAAAGTTAGTAATTTTTTTATTAGTTCATAAAATCTGTATGCCAGTAGTTATTTATTACATTCCTACTTTTTTTAGGGGGGTTAAAGCTATTTTTTATTTATTAATTGAGCGTAATAAAAAATACCTTACCTCAATTTAAAACAAATTAATCTTATTATAGTTGACCTCTGGCGTATAAAAATGTTGTCATTTTTCATCATTAAACCTATTGTTATATTTAGTCGTTAAGACAGTTACCAAAGATTGTACAAGTTGGGTTGGGTTTTAAATTTAAATTATGTGTTTTCTATAATAGATTGCAAAATATTTACAGGGGAGTATTTTTTACAGAAATAAATTTGAGGAGTTTTTATGTTTTATTTATTATTTATGTGTAAGAATTCGTATTAAATCATATAAATAACGTGATCGATTAAATATTGACAAGTAATAGACAGTCAATCAAATATACTTTTGTCACTAAAGTAAATATTTATACTTGTTTATTTACCGTCTAATGATTGGTGAATAAATACTTGTATATGTAGTAATCATTTTTTTACAAGATTTAAAATATATGTTTAGAAATATATGTGTATGTAAGTGCGTGTGATGTGAATTACTGTTTGTTAATTTTTTTTGTAAAAGTAGAGTATCACAAATATTATTTACATTTATAATTTATGCTTAAACTTTATTTATTATGTAAATATAAATAATTATATTGCATTATTTAAATTGGCTACATAAAATAAGTTAGTAAATTTAGTTAAGCTCATAGTCGCTTTGTTAACGTTTACATGTCATGAATGCAGTTACCAAAAAGCAAAATAATATTTAGATTGTGCGCACTTTAGAAATATTCATAGTTTGATTAAACAATGAATTAGAAAAATAAACAAATTTTAAGACTGTAAGATTTTTATAATGTATTTTTAGATTTTTAGATTCATACTTTTTAATATAACAGCATAATAAATATTAAGAAATATTGTAATTAATTATCTATGTCCTTACTTTATCTCGGCTACTTCTAGTTAGTCTTCAATTGTTTTACATAAATATTGTACTTATATCATATTCATAAATTAAATATATAGAAATTAAAACAAATATGTTAATTAATTATATTAGGATGACGTGAATATTATTTATTTATTTGTATTTTTTATTTTAATGTTGTTGATATTTTATTTAAAATAAATTTATACAAATACATGATGAAATCAATTTAATTGATAATTTTAGTAAAATTTTCAACACTGTGAATACTTTAGATTATTAGAATTAAATCAGAAAGTTTGTCATATTAGACATTATTTCTTCTTGTGTAATTACTAACTGATAATTAAAACAAATCCAAAAAGTATATGTTATTGTAATACAACCTTATTGAAATACTAAAATTGACAATTAACTAAAAAAAAATTATCTTCGTAATAACATTTTATTTAAATCATAAAATATGATATCATTAATATGCCTCGCAAATGTCTGATTTATCGTGACATTTTATAAACATGGCTTATGTAAAATATGTTATCTTTTTTTTGAGAGCAAAACATTATAGTATCTATAGGGAATTCATAATTGAACGTTTTGCAGTTTTATCACAATCATAAGTATCAATATATCACATGTAAAGTAATAGATGTAACATATAACTATACATAAAGCTAGTTGATTTATTATAGTTAACGATACTATGCAGCTGTTCACAGAATGTGACAGCTTTTTAATTTCGGCCTAGTTGCAGAATCACTTAATATAATATTACATATAATTTAAAAACGTTTATTTTTACGCGTAGACATTAGTATTACTTATTACATATAAGTCTACACAGGTACGACCACCATCGAATAGAAGATATGCCGCAGGCTGCGATCGTGCCGCTGCTGTTGCTTTCAGGTCAGATACACTCTAAAATATCTTCTATGTGACGTATATTGTGTAGTAAGTTAGTTCACGTGACCGATTTTGTAAATGGTTTCATCTTGATTTATTTAATTATAGAAATTATAAATATCAAATTTTTTAAGTAACCTACACTATACCTATTTAGTAGGTAACCTATTCCTTTTTAGGAATTCAATTAATTACACATACCTATACGTATTGAATGTGTTCATTTATTTTAAATGTGTATTCACTCTGGTAATTTTGAATCTTCTGAAAATGAACTTATGAAAAGAATCATTGATATATTTTTCATAAGCTTACACTGCTAAAACTTTTAGATATGTTCTTTTAATTAAGGATATTTTTCTTCGCAGGACTTTAAATGTGATATTTCAAGTTATCAACTGTTAAAATTAGCTATATAAAATATAGAAATATTTTATTTTATATAATAAATCCATTCCAAAAAATATCATAATTTCTTCATACACGAAATAATATTTGACGTATAATTTAGTTATTTTCTCAAATGTTGTCGGTCAACAAGTTAAATCGTGGAAACCTAGCATAGATTTTGATGATCCATTCAACTGGGAGACTGAAAAGATGCCATCCTCTATAGACGTGGCCATTTTCCAAGAAGACACTTCTGTACCAGTTGTTTTGCCTTCGGTTGGAGTGGATGTTTGTCAAATGATTTTACCAAGTAATGGTGAACTTATTCTTGAGCCCAATTCTGCGTTTACCGTATCCACATCTGTGTCTAATGAAGCTTTTGGGAACAGTGGGTGCACAGGACAAAGTGAGTTCTACTTTTTACATTTTCGCTTTATTATACATAAATATTTAAATACATGTAATACGTAGTAGAACAAGCTCATTAATTTTAATAATGTAACGTCACGTCAATCTAAATAATATTAAAAATTATCTCTTTTAATTTAATTATAAAATTTTAAATATTATTCTATTATTTTAAAAATATCAAAAGTCTCAGCAGATAAAATAAAGTAGAAAAATAGAAGATTTTTTAAATTTTTATTAATTGATTTAAAAAAAATGTTTAAGAATGTAACATATCAAAATATATCATACATAGTAACTAAGAACTGAATTTAATTTTAGATATAAGTTTCAAAAAAAAATCCCCTTTGTTATGGGCTGATCCAGATAATTGGTCGAGTAATTCTTCTAGTGCTACACCTCACATTGAAAAAATACCTTGTGAACATGATATAGTATACTTCAATCCACACAATTCTTTTTCGACCAGTGTTCCTAATGCCCAAATACACGTAGGAGCTATCAAATTTGGTAACCAAGTATGTTATGAGAACTTGAAATTAGTAAATACAAATGTACTTTGTACAAATATTAAGATTAATTTAACTAAGCTTTACAAAAATAAATTTTAATAATCGTAACCGATCAAAACATTTAAACAAATTTAAGTTAAAGCTATTGTTTGTGATATCTAAAGCCATATTTATGAAAGAGCTATATGCAAATGAAAAACAAAACTATCTATCATAATATAAAAAAATAAAAGTTATCTATAATTTTTTTTTCCTTAACAAATTTCAATTAAAGCCAAGGGAAGGCTTGATGTAAGGCCAATATGGAGACAGACTATATAAAACCCTGATTGTACTAAGGGCCTATTTTTTTTGTATTCACAAAATGGGAATTCAAGGCCTAGCAATATAATACAAGGTCATAAAATTGTATAAAAATTGCACAAAATTTTTTATATCACATTAAAGTAAAACGAAAAACAAAAGAGTTTTAAAGACAAAAAAGTAAAACTCGAAATGCGCTCCTTTAGTTTAAGAACTTGTGGCGTCCACCCATAGGGCCCACCTTAATCCTGGATTACAATGTTTAACGAGTAGTGTAATATTCTTCATAACAATTATAAATGACATATCGTTTAAGATAATTGTTTTATAGGATATGAAATAAATTCAACCAGTTAAATCTAAATAGTCAAATAAAAGTATTATGTTTTTAAGTTAATAAGATTAAATAATAAAATGATTAATTAAAAACAAAAATAATTAAATTTAAGCTAATCAAGTTTAACTTAATGTTAACTTCATAATTTAAATTAGTTAATGTTTAAAAAATTTAGACATTTTGCTTTCTTACAATTTTTTTTTAAAAACCCCGAGTATATAAGAAAATATTAAATTTATATAGCATTAACATAGTTGTTAAGCTTATTATAATAAATGATCTATGTATACACAAAAAGTTTATAATATAATACAGGCTTTGACTAATTTAAAAAAAAAAATTTAATTTATCTGAAAGACGATTGGTTTTTTTTGATCACGCCTGATCAAATCTATTTTATGATGCCAAGAATAAAAATACATATAAGATCTTCAAAAAATTTACTCGCTTTTTGGGATGAATACCGAATTATTATATTGCACAAATAATTAATAATATTCATGAAAATCGATTTATACTGTATTATTTACAACAATAAATATGAGGATAATTATATATTGAAACAAAAGTAGTTTTGAGTGCATTATATTTTAGGGGGGGGGGGTGATGGTTATAATTTAAATATGAAAACAATCAGAAATTTTTTTTGCCATATAATCAAAAATCGATGAGCAAACAAAATATAAATAGTTTTAACTCAATATTAAACTTTCAAAAATAGCTACATTATCTTTCATACCCTGAGATATTCAAAGAGTGCTATTAAAATTCCAAGTGAGCCCCAGCCACTCTGAAGTATATCAGGTTACACACTAAAGCATAAATATGTGGATATTTATTTAATGCATTATGATTGATTTCATTTAAAACAAAAATATACAGTTGACCACATATTAAAATATGAGCCATTAAATATTTCTAGAGCTCATAAAAGTATACTTTACTTTTTACTTTACCATTTACGATCCCGTAATTACGTTAATAAAAACAGGTTTAGTTAACAAAGTCTTCAAATCTTATATATATATATATGTATCAGTAATCACTTGACCTAGGTTAATTACCCTTAGATAGATTTGTTTGTTAAGTTTATCACTACTATTAATAAATATATCATGGGATCAATTTTAATGATAAGTATTTAAATATCGGTTTGTAATGGAAATGACGATCTTATAATAGAGACTGCTGTGTATTGTGAGCACTGCGTTATGCGCAGTAGTCTACTACAATTTGAAACTCACTCGCGTACTTATGTGCCGTCTATAAACACGTGCTGCGCTACTGTTGACTCACAAGACACTATTTTACTTAACGCTTCGATTCGATTAATTTTACTATGATGTTTTTTTTTTGTCTGTTACCACTTTTTCTCAGCTTTCGACAAACCGATTTCTTTCAACGATACGTCACAAGTCATATCTAGTTGAAGAGATTACCTTCAAAAATTGAAAAAATTTTCCTCGTTCCCCGTAAATGGGGGATATCTCCAAAAAAATTACAATTTTAAAAATCTCTAATTTTTCAATTTTTTTTTACTTATAACTGCCATAACTTTTTTTATAAATGACCAAATCAATATAAATTTTTTTTTCATAAATTTATTAGATATCTACCTATTATTTTGTATATTTTTTTTATAAATCTGACCCTTTACCAGGCCACAGGGGAGGATTCAAACTTTGTCACTTAACGCCATTTGTCATTCTTCCAAATCTTTCTAAATACGTCTTTATTATTGATTTAGCTAAATAAAATTTATTTGACAGACGTTTAGTCAAAAAGAGTTAAACGAGTTTTTAACAACTGATATTGGAGACCAAGAGATAAAAAGTGTTTCTTCTAACAACGAAGTTTCAATTACATTGACGATACCTATTTGTAATGATCCTACTGGTTGCGAATGTGGCAATCAACATCTTCTTGATGATGTGTGTCAAATTGTTGCTAAACGATGCAGTAAAAAATTAGGATGCGTAAACCCTATTAAACCAGTTGGTCATTGTTGTTTGATTTGTGGTATAAATATTCGCTAATACAATACTTATATATTTCACAAATATATTTTTAATTTAATTTCTCTTTTTCAGGAGCTTACTTTTTGATTAATTATGACCCAAGACTATACAATGAAAACACATTTTTTAATGTTTTTAATTCAAGCAACAAGGAAACACTTGACAAATTTAAAAATTATGAACTTAATTTTCATATAAAAAAAATAATCAATGGAAAATTACAACTAGTAATAGCTAGCAATGCAAAATACGTAGATGAAATTGATGAAATAGCCCACATATTTTTTAAAAAACTTTCAAGTTCATGTAATAACTAAATCATCTATTAGAATTATTTAAGTAAAAAATTCATATCCATGTTACTTTTTCAATTTAAAAGGTTCATTATCAGTGGTATTTTTTTTAATTTACTAATTTCGAATAAATTTAATAAAATAGTGAATTATGGGATAATTTTCTCAGTTTTTTTTACTAAGTAGTATCATCCTAGTCTACCCTGTTATCCGTCTATCATCGGGAGGTATTTTCAAATAATAGATAATAGATAAAAATAATAGATGCCCATAGTTTTTAGACTAATAAGACCCACTATATCACCTGACGTGGAGGGGTGTTACAATAATATGTGTTTGGAAAATTATCAGGAAACTCTCCCTCCATATTATAAATTCCTTAATATTATTGTGGAAATATCAAATACGAGTTAAGACCATATTGGTACAAAGAAAATAAATTAACAATAGTGTGGTACTATAAATTGATATTTAAAATAGTATTACCTACAACCTCTGAATTTTTTTTAATGCATATAGAAATGTGTTTTGCAAAATTTCAAATAATTTAAACTTCGATGAGAAGCTAAGAAGGTTAATTTTACCATGATGTATTGATATATGCAAAGTGTCTAACAATGATTTACGAATTTAGGAGATATTCAAATTAGTAAATCAAGGTGGGACACTTTATAAATATATATATATTTTTTTTTTGTGTCTGTCACTACTTTTTCTCAATTTGCACTGGACAGATTTTTTTCAACGATATATCAAAAGATCACAAATCGTATCTAGTCGAAGACATACCCTTGAAATTTGAAAAAAATTCCCTCGTCCCCTGTAAAATAAAAATTCCCCAAATAATTATGGTTTTTAAAATTAGTAATTTTCAAAAACTTTTTAACTTTTGATGTGACACACATCTTATACAATATATAGACATTCCGATTGAGTAGTGAAAATTTTTAAGCGTTACATTTTTTGTGTAACCAGATATTGTTATACAAAACACATCAAATATACCCTCCTTCTACTCCGATAATTTTATTATTTTGTTTTATACTTATTCTATATTTTCATTTTTCTGATAAAATTTGTCGGTAATTATCTAGTATAGTGTATTGTACCCTTAGATGATAATAACAGTTAATAAAATAGAATATGTTTTTTGATTTCAGTTAAATAAACAATTTTAAATACGCACCCAAAAACAAGCACAAAATAATTTTAAAAAAAAACAATATTATACACATTGTTCTTTTCTTAATTATTTTTATACAATCGCAATTCAAATAATTTATTTTAAAATAGATCTCAAACTGGGCATATCAGATGTGAAGATGTTCAATTCTGGACCATCATATGATATTGATGGCTTGACATTCGGTAAAATGGCTCTTTATACATGCATAATTGTACTTTTGTGCATGTTAGCTATTATGTTCTATTATAATGGAGACTGGTATAAATTGAATTGTTTTAGGATAAAATATTTAATAAGGGGAATTACAATAGTGATCAAATTATTACAGGGAAGTTCAAATAGCTAGATTTCAATCTCGTGGCAGGGTAGTACATTTTGTAAAGTTTGAAAATGATACAGTTGGTGTAGAATCTATTGATGAAAATAATGAAAGACAGCGTAAGACATCTTTTAATAATCCTACGTATGGATCCATAGAAAGTACATCATATTCACAGGTAATTAGTACAGAAAGTAAATTATAGTTTACCCAAATTTTAGTTTCTTAATTCATTATTAACATATATGTGATAGTAAAGAAAAATACCTTACTTTAATAATAAACTATAGTGTATAAATATCTGCTGATAATTATTTATGTTATTATTAGAAGATAAAATAAAAAACTACAAATATATTCAAACGCCTAATTCGAGCATATATATATACAGGGTGTTCCACGATATTCTGTCAATTCACCATAAAGAAAGAATGTGAATTTGTCAGAACATTGTGGGTCACCATATTTAACAAGGTCCAAAAGAAAACCATTGATCAGTCGAATGTAACGTATTAAACATAAGATAAATTTTAATTTCTAAGTTCATTTGTAGTATAAGTTCGTAACTATCTCTCACAAAATTAATTAAATTTTTTTCATCTTTAATATACATTATATTTTATTGTTATTGACTATTTGTCAATTAAATAAAACGAAATTTTGTGTACTTTCAGAATGTCATCGACACTCTACCTGATTTGCCAAAATCAATATTGCCAAGTAAAATTGATCACATGGATGTCGAACTTGTAGAAACTAGTAATTATACGAAATAACTGATTTATTCTTATTATGTTAAAGAAAACGATTTATTAGTGTAACTGAAACTTCATTTTAAAATGTGAAAATTGAATTGATGATTTTACTATTATTATTTTCTTTTAATATTATTAAATAACACAAAAATAAGTTTTAAAAGATGAAACTTGTAAATTTTTTAATTGTCAGTTATTCTTTTTTTATCATAAATTACTATTAAGTAAAAATTAAAGTTACTCTTAATAAATACATTTGATAATACTTATTAAATATTAAGTAAAATATATTAATATTGGTGATTATTATACTGCCTATCCTTTTCGTCTGGTTACTTACATAAATAAAGTAATAATGACATTTATATTAACTTCGATCCGAAGGAAAGGTTTATTTCACTATTTTTTTTTAGTTTCTGACCATAAAATTTTCTCAAATCTCACTGGACTGATATAAATGACAAAAACGTTAAAAGAACCTTAATTATATTTAGTTAAAGATATTGTCCTAAATATTTTTAATTCACGAAAATATAAAAATAATTAATATCGTTGAAATGGCTGATTTATTGCAATTTAAAATTAAAAGCTAATTAATACACATTAGTTTTTAAGAAGTTTACTATGAACCTATATGTTGATAAAGATGATCAATAAATAATAACCTTGTTTATAGATTTAATCGGTGAATTTCATATAATGATATCTTTAACTTTAACTAGGATAACGGCACCAGTTATTAAAAATTCTCAGTGGCGGATTTTCAACATTATTCTGAGGGTGTTCGTAGAGAAAAATTTTTATTATAATATAATAATACAAAATGTAACACAATAAATAATATGAAGGATTATGTTTTCTGCAACGGTAAAAATTTTTAGTTAACCCAACTAATAAAATAATTATTCTTTATTATCTCACTTTATAGTTTTGAGTTTTTTAGTTAAAATAAATATATAATATGAGAGGGATTACAAATACAGGCAGCTATTTGTTTTTTTACGACGCACTATTCACAGATACGCAGCGTTAATTGTCAATCATAACTATCGACAGATAGCTATTTGTTTTGCCAATTTGTGTATCTAAAAATGTTAACTTACGATATTGTGACTTATAAACTACCATACTATGATCATAATATGATGTGTTAATGTGTTCTGTATAATAAAAAAATGAAGTTATATTAAAAAAATACAAATGTCATTTACAATTACATAACAACCTCAAGCCTATAGTTATAGGCTTGATTATTAATTATAATTAATTCAAAATGTATGTTTCCATTAAAAAAAAACAAAGTTCACACCCTAACAAGACCTGTGGGTTGAACTCAAGTGTTACATACGGGAGCCACATTTGGAAGGAGGTCTAATTTACCTTAGTCTAGATTTTTAGTATATATTTGTGACGAAAAATGTTTTAAAATCCTATTTTATCATGATAAAATATAAATAAAAAATTCTATTGTATTGATCCATACACTTTTCAATATGTCATAGCATTATAAAGTTAAAAATGTAAAAAATAAAATCGAGAATTTTCACACAATAATAGCATTTTGTAGCCATTTTCATCGTGAAGATAAAATAAAGTCCGAATTTTTTTTTTTTNTCATCGTGAAGATAAAATAAAGTCCAAATTTTTTTTTTTTATAATAAAGTACATTACATTAGCTTTAATTTAAGATATATATAAAAGTGTCAGACCTTCCGGAACATTTTCAAAAGTTAAGTTGAAGAAGTTAATTTTTTGTGAAAAAGTTGTCATTTTAAATCCTCCCTTGTGGGCAGGTTAAAGGTTAAATTTATGAAAAAAATATACCAAATGTAAGGTAATGCAATTATGCATCTATATAAAAAATAATTATATTGATATGTTCATTTTTGAAAAAGTTATGGTACTTTTAAGTAAAAAAATTTGAAAAAATTTCAAAAATTAGCGATTTTTAAATTTGTAATTTTTTTGGAGGTTTCCCCCATTTACGGGGAACGAGAGAATTTTTTTCAATTTTTGAGGGTAATATCTTCAACTAGATACAATTTGTGATCTTTTGACGTATCATTGAAAGAAATCGGTTCGGTGAGGGCTAAGAAAAAGTGGTAACAGACACAAAAAAAAAAAAATAATAAAAATAAACATATCTTAGTAAAACCAATACCTTCTCAGCTTCACATCGAAGCTAAAAATAGATAAAAATATTTGTGAAGTTCTATTAGAGTAAAATAGGGGATTCACGTCCCCCTCCTAGTGATGAGCAAAACAAGAACAAGACCAAGACTGTCAAAGTCTTGGTCATAGTCTTGCTCTTGGTCTTGCTTTGCTAACTCAGTCTTGTTTTCTAACAAGAAAACTTGTAAATCTAGTCTTGTTTTAGTTCTTGGTCTTGCTTATTTAGTCTTGTTCTTGTTCTTGGTCTTGCCCATAAAATCTTGTTCTTGTTGTGAGTCTTGTCACAATACTCTTGCAAAATCTTGCATTCATTTATATTTGTAAAAATTTTCTACTTAAAAGGTTTAAATAACGAAGTTATCTACTTCAGTTTGTAAATTCAAATTTAATTTATATGCCATAGGATTTTTAAGTTAGAACTTAATATTAGCATAAACAATATGGATGATTTTTTTATGAATAGTTTGGGGTATTAAAAAAAAATAAACAAATAAATTAAATTATAAAAAAATAAGACGTTATTTAAATAAAGTATTTTTTCACTTAAAACTGATGGCGTGATATTGTCCGAATGGTAATNTCGGTAACGTCAGCTCATAGGTAATATTTAATTTGAACAATACGCGTAATCAATAAAAATCAAAGTAAAATTTAATATTGTCGAATCTGTCATTAATAATCTTAACGATTTTAACCAACAACAATTTTTTTTTTTTTTTTGCAAGAGTGCAATACTTTTGCAGTTTTATTCTTGTTGTTGCAAGATTCTTGCACTTTGAGTCTTGGTCTTGTTCTTGCAAGTCTAGTCTTGTTCTTGTTCTTGGTCTTGCTAAAAAAGTCTTGGTCTTGTTCTTGTCAATTGAGTACAGTCTTGATGTTGGCCTTGCTGATATTATTACAGTCTTGGTCTCATAGAAATGCAAGACCAAGCCAAGACCGCAAGAACAAGAGTAATTCTGCTCATCACTACCCCCTCCGGACACCCATCTACCCATGGACAAAGAAGACGAGAGGTGCAAATAAATCCAACACAAACTAATTTAAGGTCACGAAACCGTCGTAACCGTACCTAAGGTAACCTGATTTAACCTGACTTAATTGAATCGCAATCGTGGTAACCCAAGGTAACGACCCACTAGTGTTAAGCGGCTTAACATAAGCCCTATTACGCATGCCGCGGTTTAAAAAAATTCATTTTCCAAATGGGATACGCGCTAATTCTTGTATGCTTCGAGTCCGCGGATTTGATTTGAAATATTTTAACGACAATATTTAATATTGTTAAAATAGTTTAATAACTATTTATAAATATATTTTACACGAAGCTGTGTATAAAGGAATAGAGTGATTGAGTGGTTAATGCGGCGGATGAACTACCACCCCAAATGTTCGATACTCGTACCTCTGTGTAAAAAAATTGCCTAATAACTGCGGCAACACCAGTCGACCCAGTTCTGCACCTCCTAATCTATTCCTAAAATATCTACCATATAGTATAGGTATCATAGTCATATTTTTTAAGATACACGGTGGGTCATCCATCCATCCATCAATGTTCACCGCTTTACGCCATGTTCCGAACAATACACAATGTTTTTCATATAAATAACGCTGGTGGCCGTCGTCGGCGTAGGGTTTCATTTAGTAACAGCAAACCATTAGATCTTAATAATCATTAGTACATACACAGTTACGTATTAATAACAAAGATAATATTTATACATAGAAATTGACACTGATTGAATATTATACATTCATATCGCGGTCGCGACCTTCATCTTCTTCTTCTTCCTCGCCTTAATCCCAACTACTTGGGGTCGGCCACCCTTATCCTAAACTTCCACTTGACACGATCTCCCACTTCCTCTACGCTTACATCAGCTGTACTCATATCGCATTCAGTAGCACCCATCCATCTCTTTTTTGGTCTTCCTCTACCTCTTCTTCCTTCAACATTAATTTCTATAAATATTCTTACAACTTGCGATTTTTCTCTCCTCATAACATGACCAAACCATTTAAGTCTATTTTCTCTCACCTTATCCACGATTGACGCTATACCTATACTCACTCTTACATGCTCATTCTTATCCTATCTTCTCTAGTCACTCCACTTATCCATCTAAGTATTCTCATCTCTGCTCTACTTTCTTGTCAATCGTCTAACACTCTGAACCATATATCATAGCTGGCCTTATTACAGTCTTGTAGAATTTACCTTTCTACCTCATTGGAATTCTTTTATCGCATAAGACGCCAGACGCTTCTCTCCATTTCAACCACCCGCACTTAATTCTGTGTCTTACATCCTCGTCAATACCACCACTCTTTTGCACAACTGACCCTAAATACTTAAAACTCTCCAATCACGTCCTTGCCTATTGTCACTCACCTCCTCATTTCACGTACCTTATGTTCTTCTTTATCAAAGTCATACTCTATATACTTGATATGTATTTGAACCGGTTATTGCCGGAATTGTTATTGCTGCTCGGTGGTATCGTTTGTTAAATAAAATATTTTATTTAATNGGGCCACCCTGTATGTTTCCATTTGAAAAAAAAAAATTTGACAATTAAATAAGGCATAAGAAATGAAATTAAAAAAGTTTTTATATCAAATAACTTGAAAACAAATGGATACTTAAATTATTTTTATTTCGCGAATAATGGAATGTGTTATAATAAAGAAATCATTCTGTATTAATAGTTATTTAGTCGCTACATCACCATGTTTTTTGGTTGGAGTAATTATTTTAATTGTTCGGTTAATTGTAAATTATTAAAGTTTTAGAAAATATAACCTAAGATATTATTTACTGAGTTTAAAAATAATTAAACCTATACTTTTTTAATTAAATTAAAATTTTTTAAGGTAATCAATAATTTTTTTTGTTTTTGTTATACTTATTTGAAATAATGTTTTTTTAGATATAAGATCTCACCTGAATATTGTTTACAATTTAATTTAGTTAAAATATATGTTACCATTAAAAAAATAGTATTACTCTTATATGGTTAAGGCAAATAAAAAATACTTAATAAATGATAAGTTCTGTATACAATTGATATTAATAGAAAAATAATTAAGATAATAATAAAAATCCTTTAGTATGTAATATAATTTAAGCAAATTTTGATAGTAATTCGTGGCTTCATAAATGTTTGAAGTCAAATTAAGAAAATATTTTGAAATACAATTAATACTTTTTTTAAGAAGCCAAGTTCAATAAATCAATTTTTTGATATTAATAATTACACTATTTGATTTTTTTTCTGTGTGTCACTTTCATTAATGAAGTAAAATGTATTAATATAACCAACTCATCCAAGTTCGAGCTTTTAAAAATGCCTTACAAAATTGACATTTTTCACCAATTGTGACTTTATGATTTACACATTCTTTACAATAGTAATGAAGGCATTTTGTAGAAACATTATAGTTTGCTTTATTTTCATTGCAATTTACACATGGAATTATTATATCTTTTTTATGCACTGGAATATCTATAAATAAATAAATTAATACTACCATTATTTAACATTCATTACAAAGTTTTAATATATTTTTGGATTATCAAATATTTTTTCTGAACTATTGAAAAGCCATATTATTTATTTCAATATTTTTTTGCTTTGCAAAAAATGAGTGAATGAGTTTTACTTACATTATACAAGAACATTTATTTAAGTATAATTAAATATAAACTTTCAGTATTGTACTTTGAATTTGTATTTTATCAAATTGCGTTCAAATTACTATTAAATTATAATAATAACAGAATCGCAAACGTTCGTCGCATTCGTTTTTTGATAAAATTGGCAATTTAAGCTGATTTAAATGTTAAAATTAATTTTTTCGAATCAAAAGAAAAATAAATTGAAATAAGTTTAACTTTATATTCTATCTCGATAAGTTTTATATAATATTCATGAAAATGATTTTTTTTAACTTATATTGCATAACATTATCTTTATTTTAAGTTATGTTTGTAGCTGAGAGTATTTCCGGAACATTTTCAAAATTTAGGTTAAAAAAATTTAATTTTTGTGCAAAAGTTACTATTTTGAATCACCCCTCTAGGCAGATAAAGGGTCAGATTTTCAAAACATTTATATCAAATGAAAGAAAAATATCTAAGGTTACAATATAAAAAAAAATTATTTTAAATTGTTAATATTTCAAAAAGTTGCAAAATGGAAATTTTTAGAAAAAAAAAGTTTAAAAAATGTTGACATTTACCGATATTAAAAATCATAAATTTTTGGGGAATTTTCACTATTTACGGGGAACGAGGGAAAACTTTTTGAGGGTAATGTCTTCAACTAGAAACGATTTGTGATCTTTTGACGTATCGTTGAAAGAAGTTGGATGAGTCAGAGTTGAGAAAAAGTGGTAACTGTTTGGTCACCTATCAAATGCAGCTCCACTTGCGCACCACCTATTAACACAATATAAATTGTCGCGCGTGTGTGTACGGCGAGCGAGTTTGGCGCATAATACGTGGACGATCCTAATACGGATAGTGGCAGGCACGTTTTGGGCCCTTGTATCATTTTCCATAATTTGTTTCCCATGAAAAGCTTTTAGGGGGGCTCCCTCCACTCCTCCTTAGGCAGTATCCCATTCTATGAATCTTACAAGTTCAAAATTTTACCATTGGTTGGTTAAAAACAAATTGTTTTCGTATAAAGTATACTAATTATTACAGTATTATAAAAAACCCAGCACAGGGGGGTCATAGCACAGTAATGACGTGGCATAGTTGGATCAAGTATAATGATATCTGACAATGATTAAAATCACTATAAAAAAAAACACTTCGATGCAAATCTTTAGATAGTGTTTAATTTTAAAAAATTGGTAGATTATTCCAAAAGCTACATAATCTGCTAGTTCCTTATTAATATCCTGATTAAGATAAAGTATGTCCAATGAAAAAGAGATTATAAAAAAATAGTATTTCCCATAGAAAAATTATGTTGATCCATACGCTTTTCAATAAGTTATAGCATTATAATGTTAAAAATGTAAAAAATAAAATTGAGAATTTTCACACAATAATAGCATTTGGTAGCCATTTTCACCTTGAAGATAAAATAAAGTCCGAATTTTTTTTTTCCATGATAAAGTATATTACATTAGCTTTAATTTAAGATATATATAAAAGTGTCAGACTTTCCGGAACACTTTCAAAATTTAAGTTGAAAAAGTAAATTTTTTGTGAAAAAGTTGTCATTTTGAATCCTTCCCTGTAGACAGGTAAAAAGTCAGATTTATAAAAAAAATATACCAAATGATAGGTAAAGAAATCATGCATCTATAAAAAAAATTATATAGATTCGGCCATTTTTAGAAATTTAATGCAGTTTTAAGTAAAAAAAAAATTTTTAAATGTCAAAAATTAGCGATTTTTACATTTGTAATTTTTTGGAGGATCTTACCCTGTAAATGGGGTAAATTTACAGCGTACGAAAGAAACGTTTTCAATTTTTGTAGGTAATATCTTACTAGATGCCATTTGTGATCTTTTGATGTTATGTTCATCAAAATCGGTCCAGCGAGAGCTGAGATTGAGCGTTCACAGATACAAAAAAATATAGTCATAGAACACTATATATATTATTAATTAAAAATTACAGAATCTACAAATTAATAAAAACACACCCTTAATTACATAACTCACCCTAACTACTCCTTTAGTATACCCCTAAATTACATAACTCCCCTAACTACTCCNAGTCATAGAACACTATATATATTATTAATTAAAAATTACAGAATCTACAAATTAATAAAAACACACCCTTAATTACATAACTCCCCCTAACTACTCCTTTAGTATACCCCTAAATTACATAACTCCCCCTAACTACTCTTTTAGTATACCCCTAAATTACGTAACTCCTCCTAACTACTCCTTTAGCATACCCCCTTAATTAATACCTCCCCTAACTTTTAGTATAACCCCTAATTCCTCTTTATTATTCACCCTTAAATATTAATTACCCTTAGATACTATTTTTCTCTCCCTTAATTACTATATTTCACAACCTGAATTACTAATTATTACCCTTAAATATCTGCATCTCACAAATTTAATTACTAATTATTCCTATTTTCTCTCCCTTTATTACCAATTATTATTATTCTGCTCCCTAAATACATATTACTACTAATTTATTACACCCTTAATACTAACCTTAATAGTACTATTGGTTTATACTAATTATCATTATTCAACATCATAGTAAAACCAATTCTTAGCTTTGCATCGAAGCTAATAAAATAATGATGTGAACATAAGCTGATTTAATTTTTCATTTTTTAAGCTATTAAGAAAAAATAATTTGTACCTAAATATAAATAACAAATAATTTATAAATAATTTTGAAAATAAATGTAAATTATAAATAATTTAAAATTTATTTTATTTAAAATTAAAAACAATTCCAGTTTTTTTTTAGTCATATTTTCATTACTATTATTTAGAGCACGCATGTAACAAATTAACAAAAATAAATAAATTACCTATTATAACTACTAAATTATAAAAAAAAGAACAAATTAAAGATAAGATTTATCAAAAAATTTTTCATAGAGTATTACTCTATGGAATTTTGTAATCAACTAGATTCTAATCAATGCATATTTCAATAAGTATCAATGATACTTGATAGTTTGTTATCATTTGTTGGACTAGAGTTAAAAAAAATTTATCTACAACCACGTTTGAAGTAACTGCTATTCCATTTATTATTACGTCCAGAACGTTATTTTTTTCAAATAACGATTTCTATGAATATAAAAATTAAAATGCAGCCATAATAATAACTGTATTACTCAATAGTAATCACAAATTAATAATAATTTCAATGTATATAAGGCCTAGTATGTTATTGATAATTCGTAAAAATAATTGAATTTTAAATTTGGGGGGCCAGCCCTGGGCCACATTAAATTTAAGGGGGGCCAAGCCCACCCATGTCTACGTGCCTGGATAGTGGTGTGCCTCAACCGAGAGCCCAGAGTTGAAATCCGTGATCGTGTTTTTTGGTAACAAGAAGAAATTTTGAATGTCCATCCGCTAGTTTATGTCATAGAGAACATTTCTTTTCCTTTTGTAAGGACGGATTAAATGAACGAACAAGGTTGCATATAAATTATAAATATACAGAGTGATTCATTAAGGATAAGACATTCGTTTACTCAGTAAATATTGAAATTTTTAAATTTTTGGTAAAGAAAATATTGTTTGATTCAAAAAACACTACAATAATATGTAGTAAAAAACATTATAACATCGATATTAGCAGGTACACAACACTGTTATTATCAATGGTATTAAGGCACATTGTTGTGAGTTTATAAATACACTAACTGACAATACAGAAAGTATATCTATTGATAGTCATAATTGATAATGAACAATTCGTGACTGTGATAGCAATATCATAAAAAATCAATTAGCTACCTGTATTTATAATCCCTTGTATATTATTGTATATTACATGAATATTAACTCAAAAATTTGAAATTTTAAGTGTTTATATCTAATAAACGAATAAAGTTATATTAAAAATCAAAATGTCATTTGCTATTAAATTAAAAACTCAAAAATTTTATTAAATTTAAAATATGTGATCTCATTTAAAAAAAAATCAAGTTAATGTTTTTTAACCTGGAAGGGATGAAAAATATCATGTTTTACTACATATTATTGTAGTATTTTTTGAATCAAACAATATTTTCCTTACCAAAAATTTAAAAATTTCAATAGTTACTGAGTAAACGAGTGTCTTATCCTTAATGGTTCACCCTGTATATATATATACATATATATATATATATATTTAATTTGTGTAGTAATATCGGTATAGTCATTTATGTAATATTGTGATTAACGATAATAAATTTACATTTGTTCTGTTAATATTGAAGAGTACTGTCATTAATTTTAGTTACTTAAGATTCAAGTCATGTCTATAAGGCAAAAATTCTGAATGCCCCGGCCTAGAGGTGTAACGAGTCGGTGGCATAACAGTAACAGTTAGATTTTTTAAACAATTATTCCAAGTTTAATTAAATATATATATTTAATAAATTCTAAAGTAAGTTAAACAAATGTTATACTAAATGGATATTTTACTAGTCTTATAAATGTCAGACATAACAATGCAGCGTCTTAAAAGTCATAATTATGATTCAAATATAAATTCTAAATAAATATCAAATAGATATAGTTCCATTTCGAGATGTAACTCGTATACATAAATAAATAGAAAAACTGACCATATATAAGTCAGGGATGACGACTCCAAACCAATTCATGAATTAAAATCAGAGAAAGAGAAATATTAAGAAATTAATTTTAATGGTTATATTATTAAATATGTTGAAAAACAATTAAATTCCTAAAAAATTATATTTATATTCAGTTTAAAATTTTAATAAAAGGGAGAGAAAAATTGCAATATGATATAGAAAGATTATTCAAGTGATTTTAACGTCAGAAAAAATATACCAAGAGAATGATAAAAAGTGGTAAATTATTCAATACATAAAAAATTTAGCATACCAAATTGCAGTAATTATAGTATAGCTCTCTTAAACATAACATGTTTTTTTTAAATTTATAATTATCAATAATAAATAAAAAATAAAACAAGTAATTGGTAAAAGAAATAAATTAAAGCATTTTAAAGTAAAAAATGTAAAATATGAAATCGAGAATTTTCACACAAAAATAGCATTTGGTAACCATTCTCACCACGAAGATAAGTCCAGAGGTCAAAATTTTTTTTTCATAATAAAGAACATTACATTAGCTTTAATTGAAGATATATATAAAAGTGTCAGACTTTCCGGAACATTTTCAAAAGTTAAGTTGAAAAAGTTAATTTTTTGTGAAAAATTTGTCATTTTAAATTCCCCTCTGTGGGCAGAAAAAAGGTTAAATTTACAAAAAAAATATATAAAATGATAGGTAAATATCTAAGGTATTTATAAAAAAAAAATTATATTGATTCGATCATTTTTAAAAAAGTTATGGCACTTTTAAGTAAAAAAAATTGAAAAAATATCGAAAATAAGTGATTTTTAAATTTCTAAATTTTTGGGGGATTTCCCCCATTTACGGGGAACGAGGGAAATTTTTTCAATTTTGAAGGGTAATGTCTTCGACTAGATACAATTTGTGATCTTTTGACGTATCGTTGAAAGAAATCTGTTCGGTGAGAGCTAAGAAAAAGTGGTAACAGACAAAAAAAAAAAAAAAAACACATCATAGTAAAACCAATACCTTCTCAGCTTCGCATCGAAGCTAATAAATAAAAAGAACTATTGTTCAAAAGTTATTACCTCCTGTTTTATTGCAATTTGGACATTTTTCTTTGAAACGCAAATCTTTCTGAAACTCGTAACACAGTATGCATAATCTCCCTTGGCAACAGTTAGTATAAAATTGGAACCTAAGGCCCAATTGAATTTGACGCAAGCAAAATATGCATCCTTATTTATAAATGACAAATTAAAAGTTAATTAATTGAATGAATTAGGAAAAAAAATGCAATTAACCAAAGAAATAGCTAGCAAAAAGATATAAATGCATACTAGAACTTTCAAATTAACAAAGATATACATGAACATCTTTCCAATACTGTAGCTCTATGATTTGTGGAAATTATGGATATGAATTTCAATTATTACTTGAAAAAATCTATACTAATACTCACTTATTTTATCTAAAAAAATGTATATTTATATTATTTATTTGTATATACATTTATAAAAAGTTAGGCAGTTTTAAATAAAAAAAAATTAAAAAATTAGCGATTTTTAAATTTGTAATTATTAGGAGATTTCCCCCCTTTAGGGAGAATGAAGGAAATGTTTTCAATAGAGCAATATTTTCAACTAGATACGCTTTGTGATCTTTTGATGTATCGTTGAGAAAAATTGGTTTAGTGTGAGCTGAGAAAAAATGATAACAGACACAAAAATAAAAATAATAAAAAAAAAATGTATTTATTTTAAGGCTTTGTTCTTATAAATTAAAAAAAATAATTTTGGATTTTTTTTATTAAGGAAAAATTAGTTTGGTTCAAAATTCTGATATTTCTTTATTTATTTTTATTATAATCTAAGTTTGTTACAACTTTTTTATAAATACACCGATATGAGTTTTTGAAAGTTAATCGTAGAAATGGGTTTGAAGGAAACAATTTTTAACCTATATAAAATTAAATATTTAAAGACGTTCTATATGTTAAAAACAAAGAAAAATGTTATAGTTCACAATGTGATAATGTCCGTAAATGGGGAAAAATAGAAATTTTAGTGATAGTGGTGAGATGGTCGGTGATGTATGAAACATTGTAATCATAATACTTACCAGGATATAATATTCCTCGGCAAATGGGGCAATTATGGAATTTGCTTATTTTATCCCAATTGCTAAGACATTTTTCATGATATTTTTTACCACATGTATGCGTTGTAATATCTGTGACAAGTTCTTCCAAACAAATTGGACATTCTTAAAAAAAAGAACAATTAAATAAAATAGTTTTAATAAAAACTAAACTAATATCTAAGTATAAAATACTGATGTGCCTAATTTAATTTTTTCGTTTCATTGTTTATTTGAAACCTTAGAAACTATGAGGAAAGAGTGTAAAAATTATTTTAGCTAAATACATAATAATATTTTAAAAATTGTACGAACTTATTAATTATTATTTGTCAAGTTAGGAGTTTTGTTTTTTATTGATTATTCTTTTGTTCCTCAACTATAAATTTTCCCCTAAATCGCTATTTTTCAAAATATTTTCGAGTAAAAGAATAAAGGTGATAATTAGATACAAAATATTAAATAGCACTAATTATTTCGGAGAGTTTGACAAAGGACAGTAAATTTATTTACTGGACCGCGGCCGGTCACGAATCTAGAAAAAAAAGCTCCTTTTTGCTCTCTGACGTCTTACGTATACCTACAACTATCATTATCATCTACGGCATATATTTTTTATAACACATTTTTACTATGTACGATAATTAATAATTACAAACTATATTTTCTTCTGTATTTATTTTTAATTTTAAATATATTTTAAACATACGAATGCCACTTATCTTGTGTTGACTCACTTTTTTGTACATGTGTACAAATTTACATTATTTCCGTGTCAGGTTACAATCTCTTATCCTCTCACCCTAGGGCTTACATTACATTGTTATGGTGTTCACCTAATTTATTTTCATATTTTTCAAAAATTTCAGTAACAATTTCTTTGACATTTTCCAAAACTATTTAATACACCACTGAAGAATATATTATTAAAAAAACCTAAGTTTATTACATATAGACTTTTTTTATTAAAGTTCCTATTGCAATTTTATGTTAGGTATGAAATACATTTTTTTTATTACTTAATTTTATTAATTAATATACATACCATCATAATTATTCGAATCTGGAACAAATTTTTTAACTGTTAATAACTGTATTATATAAATTAAAAAATATTAATTTAAAACTAAAAATATAAAAAATATGTAGCTCTAATTAACACTATACACATACATATGTGTTTAGCAGTCATGATAGTACATTGTATACTTAATTTTTTAGTAATTTTTTTTTTTAGCTTTTCGAGTTAAATATTTTTTATATCTATTAGTTTTAAAGTAATATTATAAATATATTTTTTATTTTAAATAATATTAGTCACAAGTGATCAATTGTTATTATACTAAATTATTATTTTTATTGTACAACTATAAATATACTGTAATATATTTCTTAAGTAAAAAAGAATTCATTTTAACACGCTTATATTAGTTTCACCTGTATGTATGTATGTATGTATGTATGTATGTATGTATGTA